GAGAAGTGCAAAAAAGCCAGAATGGATGTCCAAAGAACTTCTAACTGTGCTAAAAAACAAAAGAGACATGCACAAGAAGTGGAAAAAGGGAGAAATCACCAAAGAAGAATTCAAACAAATAGCCAACACCTGTAGGGAAAAGGTCCGCAAGGCTAAAGCAAAAAACGAGCTCAGACTTGCCAGGGACATTAGAAACAATAAAAAGGGCTTCTTTTCATATGTCAGTAGAAAAAGGAAAAACAAGGAGGCGATAGGGCCTCTTTGAGGAGAAGATGGGGCAATGCGGACAGGGGATAGGGAAAAGGCAGAACTACTTAATGCCTTCTTTGCCTCGGTCTTCTCACAAAAAGAAAGTCATCTTCAACCTCAGCAAGATGGATTGGATGAGGGATTAGAGGACATCCAACCCCAAATTGGGAAACAAGTCGTCCAGGAATACCTGGCCGCTCTAAATGAGTTCAAGTCCCCAGGGCCAGATCAACTACACCCAAGAGTATTGAAGGAACTAGCAGAAGTCATTTCGGAACCATTGGCAATCTTTGAGAGTTTTTGGAGAACGGGAGAAGTTCCAGCAGACTGGAGGAGGGCCAGTGGGGTCCCAATCTTCAAGAAGGGAAAAAAGGAAGACCCAAACTTCTCCATTGAGCAGAAAAGAAGCTCTACTCTGTCTTCCTCGTGGAGTCCTCGGAGAGATTTGCAACTTCCGAAAGTGGGGCATTGTCTCACCCGAAGGGCAGGCCTTTTCGAGGGCCTTGACCAGATGCCGCAGCTCCGCCAGGGCCTCCTTTTGGCGCTGGATGGTCTCCTCGTGCCGGGAGCCCTTGCATCGCAGTCCCAGGTCAGACAACGCCAAGACCGGTCCCTGAAGAAGGCAGAAGAACAAGCCAGCAATGGAGTGATCATCTTGACCGCAACACTTTGAGGATTCTGCCTGGCAAGGAATGCTAGCCAACGTTTCCAGACCAAAATGAACTCACCAAAGGATCTGAAATTGTACTGTATTGTTCATCCTGATCCCAAAAGGGTTGGCCTTGGTCAGGAGGAGAGGGTGGACAGAAGCTCTTGCTCTCAGGAAGTTCTTCCTAATCTTTTCACTCGGATCTCTTTCCCTGCCATTTGAACCCATGGCTCCCTTGCCAGTTTCCTCCTTCCTCTTCCTCCTCAAAGGGACACCCTTTGAAATCTTGGAACATGGGTCTTGCGTTCCTTCTCGAACTTCTCTGATCACAGGTAAACATCCCAACCGGGAGGAAAGGAAGAATGAAAAAGAGAAGGGAGGAAAGGAGGAAGGGAGGAAGAGAAGGATGGAAGAGGAAGGAATGAAGGGAGGGAGGGAGGAAAGAGAGAAGGAAGGAAAGACAAAAAGAAAGGAAGGAAGGAGAACAAGAGAGAGGGAAAGAGGGAGGAAAGAGGGAAGGAAGGAGAACGAGAGAGAGGATAGGTGGGAGGAAAGAGGGAAGGAAGAAAAGACACAATGGAAGGATAGAAGGAAGGAAAGAAGGAAGGAAGGAGAACGAGAGAGAGGATAGGGGGAGGAAAGAGGGAAGGAAGGAAAGACACAAGGAAGGAAGAAGGAGGAGGAAGAGAAAGAGGGAAAGGGAAGGAGGGAGGAAAGAGGAAGGAAGAAAAAGGGGGAGGGAGGAGAAAGAGAGAGAAAAGGAGGGAGGAAAAGAGGAAGGAAAAGAAAGGAAAAAAGAGAAAGGGAAGGAGGGAGGAAAGAGGAAGGAAAGACACAAGGGAAGGAAGGGAGGGAGGGAGGGAAAGAGGAAAGGGGAAGAAGGGAAGGAAAAACAAAAGGGGAGGGAGGGAGGAGAACGAGAGAAAAGGAGAGAGGAAGGAAGGAAGGAAGGAAGGAAGAAAGGAAAAAGAGAAAGGGAAGGAGGGAGGAAAGAGGAAAGGAAAGACACAAGGGAAGTGAAGAAGGAAGGAAGGAAGGAAGAAAAAAGAGAAAGGGAAGAAAGGAGGAAAGAGGGAAGGAAAGACACAAGGGAAGGAAGGAAGGAAGGAAGGAAGGAAGGAAGGAAGAAGGAAGGAAGGAAGTGAAGGAAGGAAGGAGGAGGAAAGAGGGAAGGAAAAGAAAAGAAAGGAAGAAAGGAAGGGGGAGGGAGGGAGGAGAGGGAAAGGGAAGGAGGGAGGAAAGAGGAAGAAAAAAAAAAGGGAGGAGGAAGGGAAAAGAGAGAGAAAAGGAGGGAGGGAAAGAGGGAAGGAAAGAAAGAAAGGAAAGGAAGGAAGGAAGAAGGAGGAAGGAAAAAAGGAGAAAGGGAAGGAGGAGGAAAGAGAGGAGGAAAGAAAAGGGAAGGGAAGGAGAGAGAAAAGAGGAGAGGAAAGGAGGAAGGAAAGAGAAGGAAGAAGGAAAGACAAAAGGGAAGGAAGGGAGGGAGGAGAAAGAGAGAAGGGAAGGAGAAAGGGAAGAGGGAAAGGAAGGAAAAAGGGAAGAAGGAAGGAAGGAAGGAAGGAAGGAAGGAAGGGAGGAAAGAGAAAGAGAAAAGGGAAGGAGGGAGGAAATAGGGAAAGAAGGAAAGACCCAAGGAAAGGAAGGAAGGAGAAAGAGAGAAAGGGAAAGAGGGAGGAAAGAGGGAAGGCAGGAAGGATAAAGGAGTGGAAGAGAAGGATGGAAGGAAAAAGAGGGAGATAAGGAAAGGAGGGAGGGAGGAGAGAAAGAATGAAGGAAGAATAGGTGAGAGAGAGGAGGGCCCGAGAAAGTATACTTAAAGTATACTTAGTAAAGTATACTTAGTAAAAAAGTATACTTAGTAAAAAAAAATCATTACTATAATGAGAGTAATACAATTCCGTTAGTATTTCGTTATAGTAATTGCGCATAATTACTATAATTGTGGAAACTTCGGGGACTCTCATCTCCCTCATTTTTAAAGCTGTCGGAGTGAAACTTGCTACAATGGTAGAACACATTTACCACTCTTAGCCCACCAAATGTCAGAACGTTTCGCTTATATACGGATTTTGGGGAATTTTCAAAGTTTTTATAAACAACATTTAAAAAACCCCCACAAGAGCTGTCTACTTGAACTTTATATACAACGCAGAAGATAACCAGGATATCAATCCCCAGAAATTTCCGAGACATCCTCTCTCGGTGGGTGAAGACCCCCTAAATCCCCCAGAAGTCCCTGCTTGCCTTTCCGGCTGCGTCCTCCACCGGGGGGGCTTCTGTCTGGACCCCCTTGTGCTGCCCGTCTCTCTCCTTTGTCGCCGTTTTCAGCTTCTCTCGGATGTTCCTGCGAATGAGAACAGTGCCGAGAGGATTGGGACCGCTAGCTGCCTGCTTTCTCCAGCTCTGAGAAGGCCAGCTTCATAATATCTCCCTAGCAACAATCGGGCAGGCTCTTTTTGTGCTTCTATCCCTCCTTTCCTTCCTCTTTCCTTCCTTTTTTTCTTTCGTTCTTTCCTTCCCCGCCTGCTTTCTCCCTTCTCCAGCTCTGAGGTTCAGCCCCACAATGTTTCCCTCGCAACTACCTGACAGACTCTTTTCATGGCTCTTCCTCTCTCTTCCTTCTCCTTTCTTTTCCTTCCCTTTTCTCTTTCTTTCTTTCCTTCCCCGCCTGCTTTCTCCCTTCTCCAGCTCTGAGGGGGTCAGCCCCACAATGCTTCCCTGGCAACTACCTGGCAGACTCTTTTGGTGGCTCTTCCCCTCTCTTCCTTCTCTTTTCTTTTCCTTCCCCTTTCTCTATCTCTCTTTCCTTTCCCCGCCTGCTTTCTCCCTCTTCCAGCTCTAGGAGGGCATCTCTCACAATGTCTCAAGGACAACATGGCTCTCTTTGTCATGCTTTCCTTCCTTTCTCCCTTTTCCATCTTCCTTCCTTCCTTTCTTCCTTTTGTTCTCTCTTTCTATTCCATTTCTTTCCACCGCTCTTTCCCCTTTTCCTTTCTCTTCCTTCCTTCCCTCCTTTTTCTTTCTGCCTCCCTCCCCTTCTCCTTTCATTCTTTCCCCCTTTCCTTTCTCTTTTACTTCCCTCCTTTTTTCTACTTCTCTCCCTTTTCTTTCATTCCTTATCCTTCTGTTCTTTCTTTCTTTCCTTCCTTCGTCCTCCTCCTCTTTCTCCTATCTCCAGCTCTGAGAAGAACCACTTTGCAATGTCTCCAAGGCAACATGGCTCTCTTTGACACTCTTTCCTTTCTCTATTTCCCATCTTGTTGTTTGGGCCCCTCTTCCGCTAACCCTTTGAGAAGCAAAACAGCCACCTCCTCCTCGTCCTCCTCCCCCCCCCCGTCTTAACTCCAGATGTCCAAGGAGTAGCGGCCCTTGGTCATGAGCTTCTTGATGTAGTCCACCGCCTGCGGTGGTGTTCTGCAGCTCATGTAAGCCGCCCAGAGTTCCCATTAATAAAGATTATTATTATTATTATTATTATTATTATTATTATTATTACAATCAAATCACTCCTGATAGATGGCCATCCGGTCCTCATTACGGTGGGTGTATCCTTTCTTCCCTTTTATACTCACCGTAATTCTTCCCTGACGACTTGGAGGTCGGTGTCCTTCTGGCCCACAAGAGTCCTCATCTTGAGGAGCTCCTCCTGAAGATGGCTGATCTCATGGAGTTGATTCTGGACCACACTCCGCTTCTGCTCCAGCTCCATTTTCTGTTTCTCGCTGAGTTCCCCTGCGCAGAGAGAAGTCCATTCAACACTGAGCCATACCGTGGTGCCGCATTTATCCCGGGTGTTACTGTGCTCTTTGTGCCCAGCGGGAAGCCGGGGTGCCTCGGATGCGAGGCCCTAAGGATTTTCCTATACAAAGTCTTTAGAAGCTTGAAAAGTTTAACAAAGTCCTTTATTATTGCTTAGGTGTTCAACAAAACAATCAAATACTTCTCAGATCTTCAACAGGTCAAACAAATGCTTCAAGGCTTTGACTCAACGGGTGGCTTTCTTAATCTTGTCCACAAGGGACAGGCCACTGGCTTTGTGAACTATTTCTTTTCTTTCAGAGGAAAACCCTTTTGAACCCCTCCTTGGGCAATCTACTCTCTAAACTTTGCTGGTGTGGGCTTTACTCCCGGCTCCAAACTGCTTCTTGGGTCCTGAGTAGACCTACCAGTCAAGGCTTTGTAGATTCTCCAACTGGAGTCCTTTGGAACTGTTTTCCCCTGGAATTTCATAAGAAACAAAGCTTCTCTACAGGTGGATCTAATCCACATCCTGTAGCTAAGCTTTCCAATGCAAGACTGACCTAAAATGGCTCCCTCTCCTCCCAGAGTCCTGGGGAAAGGGGCGGAACCAAAACTTAACAATGATTGACGGGTCACTGGCTCTATAATTGCAAACCAAGGGAAACCACCTTATTGCAAAATGCATGGAACTTTGGAATACATGCAAACGCTCAAAGAAAGAAAAGGAAGTTGGAGCTTTTGGTACAGCCGTACAAACACAGTTACATTCCAGGACCACCCGTGAAAAGTGAAATTCCGCAAAGTAGGAACACTCTGACACATGGTCCTCATTAATAGCAGCTCCTTAGAGGTTTTTTTTTGTCATGTCAGGAGTGACCTGAGAAACTGCAAGTCGCTTCTGATGTGAGAGAATTGGCCATCTGCAAGGACGTTGCCCAGGAAATGCCTGGATGGTTTGATGTTTTATCATCCTTGTGGGAGGCTTCCCTCATGTCCCCGCATGAGGAGCTGGAGCTGATAGAGGGAGCTCATCCGCCTCTCCTGTGACCTGTCAGTCTTCAGTCCTGCCGGCACAGGGGTTTAACCCACTGCACCACCAAGGGCTCCAGCTCCTTAGGTAAAGATGCTTAAATGAAGATTGACAGGTGTTGAGGTTAAAATATTTATTTATTTATTATTTAAACTTCTATGCCGCCACTCCCTTCCCTGGGGCTCGGAGCGGCTTACAAGGATAGCTAAAATCTAACCAAGTTTAAGAGCAATTTAAAACAATTTAAAAACAACAGTATCAAACATTAAAAGCCTGTCAGAACAGGTATGTCTTCCATGCCCTGCGGAAAGCTGGTAAGTCCCGCAGGGCACGAACTTCAGGTGGCAGAGCATTCCAGACTGATGGCGCCACTGCTGTGAAGGCTCTGCGTCTGGTTGCCGCTAGACGCAAGGTCTTGACACTGGGGACCTCCAATAGATCTTGGTCCTCAGAACGGAGGGATCTCTGGGGTTGGTAGGGGGTGAGGCGGTCCCTCAGGTACATCGGCCCCAGACCATGCAAGGCCTTAAAAGTGAGTACTATCACTTTGAAAGTGATCCGGTGCTCAATTGGTAACCAATGCAGCTGTAGTAAGATTGGGGTTATGTGGCATCTCATCAGAATTCCCGCAAGAAGCTGAGCAGCTGCATTTTGTACCAACTTGAGCTTCCGGATCACTGACAGAGGAAGGCCAATGTAGAGGGCGTTACAGTAGTCCAGTCTTGAGATGACCGTGGCCTGGATCACCGTAGCTAGGTCGTCCCTGGACAGGGAGGGGGCCAGCCGTCTAGCCTGCCGCAGGTGAAAGAAGGCGGTTCTGCTCACGGCGGAGACCTGGGCCTCCATTGTCAGCAGAGGGTCCAAAAGGACTCCCAGACTCTTGACCAATGATGACGGGCGTAACGCCTCGCCATCCAGGGTGGGCAGATGGATGTCCCCACTGCCCGGTCCACCCAGCCATAGGATCTCCGTCTTTGCTGGATTCACCCTCAACCTGCTGGCACGCAGCCATCCAGTAACGGCCTCGAGGCACTGATGGAAACAATCGGGTACAGAGTCCGGTCGGCCTTCCATCTTCAGCACCAGCTGAGCGTCATCAGCATACTGATAACACTCCAGCCCAAAACCTCGAACCAGCTGAGCAAGTGGTCGCATAGAGATGTTAAACACCAGAGGGGAGAGAATGGCCCCCTGAGGAACCCCACAAGAGAGAGAGGGGGGACCTCTCAGAGACCAGGCCTCCCCTCTCCACTCGCTGTCCACGGTTGTGAAGAAAGGAGGACAGCCAGTTTAAAGCTGTCCCCCTGATTCCAGCAACAGCAAGGCGGTGGGTCAAGAGATTGTGGTCGACTGTGTCAAATGCTGCTGTGAGATCCAATAGCACAAGCAGCGCTGACCCGCCCTGGTCAAGCTGGCATCGAAGGTGATCCGTGATGGAGACCAGCACAGTCTCTGTCCCATGCCCCGCACGGAAGCCGGATTGGAAGGGATCTAGTCCGGCTGTGTCGTCTAGGAATTGCTGCAACTGCTCCGCTGCTGCCCTCTCAATCACCTTGCCCAGGAACGAGAGATTTGAAACTGGGCGGTAACTGGAGGGAACCGAGGGATCTAAATCTGGTTTCTTCAGCAAAGGAGAGACCACCGCCTCTTTTAAACCCTCTGGAAAGACTCCTTGCTCAAGGGATATGCTATTGAAATCATTGTAAAAGTAGAATTTTGTGATGCACATTGTGATGCCTGTATGATGCATGCATATTATTTTAAAGGGTATATAAACCAAGGCTTTTCTTTGTTCTGTACCCTGTTTTTCCTGGACTACCAGCAGGGTCCATATCCGGGTGGCGCCAGCCGAGAATAAACCGTGCTTTTTCAGACCTCAGGAACTCTCTTCGTCTCTTTTCTAGGAACTTTCTTTGTCTCTTTGTCTACATGAAACTGCTGGGGGAGGTTTTGGAGTCAGGTGCCATCTCTACGCAGATGACACACAACTCTACTACTCTTTTCCACCTAATTTCAAGGAGGCCCCTCGAGTGCTGGATGAGTGCTTGGCCGCTGTGGCTATCTGGATGAGGACGCACAAGCTGAAGATCAATCCCGACAAGACAGAGGTCCTCCTGGTCGATCGTAAACCTGATCGGGGTATAGGGTGGCAACCTGTGTTGGACGGGGTTACACTCCCCCTGAAGTCACAGGTCCGTAGTTTGGGAGTCCTCTTGGATTCATCGCTCACGCTTGAGGCTCAGGCATCGGCGGTGTCCGGGAGGGCCTTTGCACAACTGAGACTTGTGCGCCAGCTACGACCGTACCTCGCTAAGGCTGATCTGGCCGGGGTGGTCCACGCCTTAGTCACCTCCAGACTGGATTACTGCAATGCACTCTACGTGGGGCTGCTCTTGAAAACGGCTCGGAAATTTCAACTGGTCCAACGAGTGGCGGTCAGGATGTTAACTGGGGCCCATTACAGAGTGAGGTCAACCCTCCTGTTCAAGGAGCTCCACTGGCTGCCGTTTATCTTCCGAGCCCAATTTAAGGTGCAGGTGCTTACCTACAAAGCCCTGAATGGTTTGGGACCACCCTACCTGCGTGACCGCATCTCCGTCTATGAACCCACACGCTCATTCTGGTCATCTGGAGAGGCCCTGCTCGTGATCCCGCCCGCGTCGCAGGCACGTCTGGTGGAGACGCGAGACAGGGCCTTTTCTGTGGTGGCCCCCCGACTCTGGAACACCCTCCCCAAAGATCCTAGATAGTCCCCTACATTGGTAGTCTTCGGAAAGAACTTGAAGACCTGGCTGTTCCGATGTGCCTTCCCAGAATAGGAAAACTCCAATACCAAGTCCCAGAAGCACTTTATTAGAACTAAGATGGCCGCACACTGCACTTACCCGATAATCCTTACATATCACCTGTCACATCAGCACTTTAATCCTGTACCCCTTTCTCTGGCCCGGCCCAGTTTTATAGTGTTTTGTTGTATTGTTTATTGCTTGTTGTTTAATATTGCTTTAACTGTTTTTAATTTGCCTTAGGTGTTGTATTGTTATGTTGTGTTTTGAGGCCTTGGCCTTTGTAAGCCGCATCGAGTCCTTCGGGAGATGCTAGCGGGGTACAAATAAAGTTAATAATAAATAATAAAATAATAACTCCCTAATGTCAAGGTCTATTTCCCCCAAACTCCACCTGTGTTCACATTTGGGCATATTGAGTATTCATAACAAGTTTACTATCCTGATATTTGCTAGAAAACAAACTCGGCCAAGAGAACAGAATCCAACAAATTCAACGCTTGTCTTGCAGACAATTTCATGGTCCAGAAGATAGAAGAGGCAACAAGGGGGTTGGCTACTCTTGATCTCATCCTAACAAATGCGGAGGACCTGATCGATGCGGTTGAAGTGGTCGGATCCTTAGGGGCAAGTGACCATGTGCTCCTGCAATTGAGGTACAAAGGAAGGCCGAAACTAAGACAAGTCAAACCCGCATTTTGGACTTTAGGAGAGCTGATTTCCAAAAATGAAGGAAACGCTGAGCAGCATTCCGTGGACACAGATACTAAAAGACAAGGGAGTTACGGATGGATGGGAATTTCTCAAGAGTGAAATACTCAAGGCGGAAGTGCAAACCGTGCCAACAAAGAGAAAAAATAGGACAAGTGCAAAGAAGCCAGAATGGATGTCCAAAGAACTTCTAACTGTGCTAAGACACAAAAGAGACATGCACAAGAAGTGGAAAAAGGGAGAAATCACCAAAGAAGAATTCAAACAAATAGCCAACACCTGTAGGGAAATGGTCCGCAAGGCTAAAGCACAAAACGAGCTCAGGCTTGCCAGGGACATTAAAAACAATAAAAAGGGCTTCTTTTCTTATGTCAGTAGAAAAAGGAAAAACAAGGAGGCGATAGGGCCTCTTCGAGGAGAAGATGGGGCAATGCTGACAGGAGATAGGGAAAAGGCAGAACTACTGTCAGGGGTGATTTGAATGCGATATTCCTGCTTCTTGGTAGAATGAGGTTGGACTGGATGGCCCATGAGGTCTCTTCCAACTCTTTGATTCTATGATTCTATATTAGAAGCCAACACTTTCTGATTACTTTATTTTCCAGATCACCAGACTGGGACACAGCAATGCCTGGCAGGGGATGGCTAGTAAATAAAGTAAGTCGAGTAGAACTAACATGGAGTAGAACACTCAAAGGCTCTTTCCAAGCAGAACGCTTGAGGTCATTTTGGAGGGAGGAGGACGGTTGTCAAGTTAACGGGAGACTGAACCGACAGTGATGCCACAAAAGAACATTCCCTTCCTCATTGCTATTTCTGTTTCCTGTTTTATAAGGCAGTTCTTTCCCCAGAAGGCACTGTGATGGGGACATAGAATCACAGAGAGACCTCCTGAGCCATCCAGTCCAACCCCATTCTACCAAGAAGCAGGAATATTGCATTCAAATCACCCCTGTCTTCACTGTGTCTGGTTGTGACCCCCAGGTTGTGCCAATCAGCTTTCATATGATATTGTTTCTAGCACCCATATTTTGCTTGATTGTCAAGCAGTGTGTCTTGTAAGTCCAAGTTGGACTTAAAAGACGCATTGTTGGACGTTGGACTTCCAAGTTGGAACAGACCTCGTCGGCCAACCAGTCCAACCCCATTCTGCCAAGAAGCAGGAATATTGCATTCAAATCACCCCTGTCTTCACTGTGTCTGGTTGTGATCCCCAGGTTGTGCCAATCAGCTTTCATATGATATTGTTTCTAGCACCCATATTTTGCTTGATAGTCAAGCAGTGTGTCTTGTAAGTCCAAGTTGGACTTAAAAGACGCATTGTTGGAAGTTGGACTTCCAAGTTGGAGGAGACCTCATCGGCCATCCAGTCCAACCCCATTCTATATTGCATTCAAATCACCCCTGACAGATGGCCATCCAGCCTCTGTTTAAAAGCTTCCAAAGAAGGAGCCTCCACCACACTCCGGGGCAGAGAGTTCCACTGCTGAACGGCTCTCACAGTCAGGAAGTTCTTCCTCATGTTCAGATGGAATCTCCTTTCTTGTAGTTTGAAGCCATTGTTCCTTGTCCTAATCTACATGTAAGCAGAAAACAAGCTTGCTCCCTCCTCCCTGTGGCTTCCTCTCACGTATTTATACATGGCTATCATGTCTCTCTCAGCCTTCTCTTCTTCAGGCTAAACATGCCCAGCTCCTTAAGCCGCTCCTCATAGGGCTTGTTCTCCAGACCCTTGATCACTTTAATCGCACTCTTTCTCTGGACACATTCCAGCTTGTCAATATTTCCCTTCAATTGTGGTGCCCAGAATTGGACACAATATTCCAGATGTGGTCTAACCAAAGCGGAATAGAGCATGGGGAGCATGACTTCCCTAGATCTAAACACTAGGCTCCTATTGATTAGGGTTAGGGTTGATGCAGGACAAAATTCCATTGGCTTCTTTTGCTGCCACTTCACATTGTTGGAGGCTTGGCCACCTCCTGAGCTCCTTAACCAATGGGCGAACTCACGCCACTTCAGCCTCCTGGCCAATCGGGAGAGAAGGAGGCGAGATGAGAGGGAAACAATGAGAACTGGAGTGGATTATGGAAATATGTGGTGTCCATTTGGTCGGCGAGTCCTCAGGGGGCCTTCTAGCCAACCAGCCTATTGTCTTGAGAGGTGGCAATCAACGTTAATGTCTGGCGAGATGGCCAGAATCCAGATTTTTCTTGAACTGAGATATGGAGACAATGGGGTAATCCTGGCTGTAGTTTTGGTGGATGGAAGATAACTGAGAGAACAGATCAGGACAAATTGTGGCTTTCCGAAGGCCCTTTGTCCTGTTGAGATACGATCAATCATGCCAAGTGGGCACCCTCCCCTGGGATTGGCCCTCCTCCAATCTGCTGGAACTTCTCCCGTTCTCAAAGATGATTGCCAATGGTTCCAAAATGACTTCCGCTAGTTCCTTCAATACTCTTGGGTGTAGCTGATCTGGCCCTGAAAGGGGACTTGAACTCATTGAGAATGGCCAGGTCTTCCTGGACGACTTGTTTCCCAATTTGGGATTGGATGTCCTCATCCACTCCATCTTGCTGAGGTTGAAGATGAGTTCTTTTTGTGAGAAGACCGAGGCAAAGAAGGCATTAAGTAGTTCTGCCTTTTCCCTTTCATCCCCTGTCAGCATTGCCCCATCTTCTCCTCGAAGAGGCCCTATCGCCTCCTTGTTTTTCCTTTTTCTACTGACATTAGAAAAGAAGCCCTTTTTATTGTTTATAATGTCCTTGGCAATCCTGAAGCCTTGCGGACCTTTTCCCTACAGGTGTTGGCTATTTGTTTGAATTCTTCTTTGGTAATTTCTCCCTTTTTCCACTTCTTGTGCATGTCTCTTTTGTGACTTAGCAGAGTTAGAAGTTCTTTGGACTCTCACATATTTATACATGACTAGCCATCCCTTGCCACGTGTTGTTGTGGCCCAGTCTGTATATATGTTTTGTGCATGTGTATATGTGTATGTATGTGTGTTTGCATATAGATAGAAAGGTAGATAGATAGATAGATAGAGCTATATAAATAAAAATGTAATGTTCGCTTGTGGGATTAACAGTACTCAAAAACCACATCTGTACGCTTGTCATCACCATCATCATCATCATCATTATATTTAATTACTTATTAATCGCCCTCCATCTGAGAATGCTCTAGGCGATTTACAAGGCCTTACTAAAATCCAGATCCATGGCATTACTGAAATCCAGATCCATGGCATTCCCCGCATCTACCCAGCTGTTGTAAATTTGGGGGGCGGGGGGGGGGGGCGGGAGGAGACAACTACACCAATATCTGACTTTTCTTAGCACTTGAGAATGACCTCTCAAGAATAATATTTCAACCTGGATCTTTCAATTCCCACTCCGACCCTCACAACCAGCACAAACCAATTGCATCGGAGACTCTGGCCCGGGCTTCTGAGAGCTCCTTCTTCAATTCTGCAATGACGACCTCGTCGGACAGGATTCGGTGCTTGGCAACTTCCAATTCTTTCCTGGAGTGAGAACATAAAGACATTTTGGACACCCCAGTTTTCATTTCCGAAAGACCACGAGATGCTCATTCCTGGACGACTGACAAACTATTGGAACTAGGTGGCTACTAGAGGTATGTGAAGTGACTGAAATCCGATTAGTCACTCGTTTTGGAGATTCTGACGGCCCCTGCTTCATTTCGTAAAGATAAGTAACTCCAAATAGGTAGAAAAGATAGATATAAACAAATAATCCAGGAAATTAGTCTGTCAGGGTTGTGTGTGTGTGTTGAAGAAATACCTTATGATGTTAATTATTATGTTTCGAGGCTCATTTCTCCATCATTTCTATGGTTATCAGAATGAAACTTGGCACACTAGTGGGCGGGGCGGCTCGTCCATTATGCAAAGTAAGCGGTCGCAGAACACTTTTTTTTGCCAGGGGTGCAAAGGTGCCTCTGTAAATCTCCCTCGACCGCCAGTTGAGGAGCGCCCCTCCGCTCACAACAGCCCTAGCAATCTGGGGGGAGCCTCGGCTTTATTGCCTAGCTGCCGGGTGATCCTCTTCCCAAAGGGGCCGGGCCCTTGAGCCTCGCCTAGCCCCTCTCGTTCCTGCTCCACCCGGCCACCGGGTGCGCGAGCAGAGCCGGCGCTCAATCGTTCTCCGCGTTCGATCCCTTCCCCATGACCGGCTCCCTTTCCCGATCCCCCAGCGCTCCACCCGCCTCCTCTCCTCTCCCCAATCCGCAGGTGGGCCAAGGGGCGGAGCTGCCGCGCCTGGCCCGCTTCGGGTCCGGAGGCGTGTCTGAAGACCCCAGCGTGCACACCAAAAGTCGCCTCTTCTCCTGACTTTCTCTTCAGCCATTGGGACCAAGAGAGAGAGAGAGAGAGCCCCTCCGGCTGGAGGTATCTCCCACCTCCGCTCCCTCCTTTGTTTTTGCGCCTACCTTCAGGAAAGGTGGGCATCTCCACCTCTCTCTCTCTCTCTCTCTCTTGGTCACAATGGCTGAGGAGAAAGTCAGGAGAAGAGGTGACTTTTGGTGCACACGCCGGGGTCTTCAGGCACACCTCCGGACCTAAAGCGGGCCAGGCAAGGGAGCAAGTGCGGCAAGTGTAGTTACTGGGATGTATAGTTCACCTACAATCAAAGAGCATTCTGAACTCCACCAATGATGGAATTGAACCAAATATGGCACACAGAACTCCCACGACAAACAGAAAATATATATCAATGATTGGTTGGGGGGGGGGGGCGCCAAAATACTGTTTGCTTACCGTTGAAAATTACCTAGGGCCACCTCTGCTAGTGGGCAACATTTCTTACTTTAAGTCTGCCATGTTTCAGAACATTTCGGTCACCCGGAGCTTTGCACAACACTAATAGCTACCAATAGAGGCGGCCCTAGGTAATTTTCAACGGTAAGCAAACAGTATTTTGGTGCCCCCCCCCAACCAATCACTGATATATATTTTCTGTTCGTCGTGGGAGTTCTGTGTGCCATATTTGGTTCAATTCCATCATTGGTGGAGTTCAGAATGCTCTTTGATTGTAGGTGAACTATACATCCCAGTAACTACAACTCGCATATGTCAAGGTCTATTTTCCCCCAAGAGAGCCTTAAGAGCGCCCCTGGGCAAAATCAACTCTACCGCAAAGGCTTACTTTGCGTAGTGGTTGAGCCGCCCCTGGCTACCAAAAGAGTCTTATTGTGGTTTTGTTAGAGAATCAACAGGGAAGAATGTGAAGAAATCAGTCACTTACTTCAAGAAGACGTGGAACCTTTCTGGAGACGTGGCCTCAGGCAAATAAGATTTGCAAGGCACCTTCTGCATTTCTAGGGGGAAAACAAAACACAGACACAAAAAGGCAAAGAATAAACAAGGGTACAACCCGGTTCTCGACAATCCTGCGACGACGCCAGCTTCATATCAAGATGTGGGTTTTTGGGAAATGACCCATAAAGAGTGTCAGTTAAGCCATTAATCATTTAGTCTAATTGATTAAGAAGATCTGCTTGCTGCACAACAGTCTTGACTCAATGCCAACATTGCTTTGTCTGGCTACAGATTCTGCACTTGACACTTTTATCCCCTAATCTACTCTATATACCAAATGGCCAGGAATGGATTTCTTCTCAGCCTTGAATCTGCTATCAGGCTCTCCTGCAATCTGGCAGAGCACCGGAAAGCCTGGTTTGTTTTTCTTTGCTGACTGAAAACACTTCTATCTACTGACTCATTAATTTCTGCCCCTGGACCAGGCGCCAAACCTTTCTAAGTTTCCAAGTCTTGGGAATTCTCTGATAGCAATTCAGATCCTGGGAACACGCCACTCACAGATTGCTGTGAGTTTTCCGGGCTGTCTGGTCATGTTCCAGGAAGCATTCTCTCCTAACGTTTCACCCACATCTATGGCAGGCGCCCTCGGAGGTTGTGAGGTTTGTTGGAAACTAGGCAAAAAGGGTTTATATATCTGTGGAATGTCCAGAGTAGGAGAACGTTGATTTAAGGAGTAGACGTGCTGGCTGATATCTGAACAGAGAATGGGCCAGAGATGTCATTGCCTTGGTCCTTTCATTATTGGCTGCTACCTCCCGGAGGATGTCAGCCAGTGGTGTAGAGATCTTGTGATAATGTGGAATGTCTCATTAAGAGACGCATTCACTGTTTTAACGCGGTGATGTGTTCCACCCTGGCCTGCGTACTCAGCAGCAGAGTAGCCAAACGCAAGGGCGGATGTCATCACTGTGTCTGGTTGTGATCCCTAAGTTGTACCAATCAGCTTTCATATGATATTGTTTCTAGCACCCATATTTTGCTTGATAGTCAAGCAGTGCGTCTTGTAAGTCCAAGTTGGACTTAAAAGACACATTGTTGGACGTTGGACTTCCAAGTTGGAAGAGACCTCATCGGCCATCCTGTCCAACCCCATTCTGCCAAGAAGCAGGAATATTGCATTCAAATCACCCCTGTCTTCACTGTGTCTGGTTGTGATCCCCAGGTTGTACCAATCAGCTTTCATATGATATTGTTTCTAGCAACCATATTTTGCTTGATAGTCAAGCAGTGCGTCTTGTAAGTCCAAGTTGGACTTAAAAGACGTATTGTTGGACGTTGGACTTCCAAGTTGGAAGAGACCTCATCAGCCATCCTGTCCAACCCCAAATCATCCTTGTCTTCACTGTGTCTGGTTGTGATCCCCAGGTTGTACCAATCAGCTTTCATATGATATTGTTTCTAGCAACCATATTTTGCTTGATAGTCAAGCAGTGCGTCTTGTAAGTCCAAGTTGGACTTAAAAGACGCATTGTTGGACGTTGCACTTGCAAGTTGGAAGAGACCTCATCGGCCTGTCCAACCCCATTCTGCCAAGAAGCAGGAATATTGCATTCAAATCACCCCTGTCTTCACTGTGTCTGGTTGTGATCCCCAGGTTGTACCAATCAGATTTCATATGATATTGTTTCTAGTACTCATATTTTGCTTGATAGTCAAGCAGTGCGTCTTGTAAGTCCAAGTTGGACTTAAAAGACGCATTGTTGGATGTTGGACTTCCAAGTTGGAAGAGACCTCATCAGCCATCCTGTCCAACCCCAAATCATCCTTGTCTTCACTGTGTCTGGTTGTGATCCCCAGGTTGTACCAATCTGCTTTCATATGATATTGTTTCTAGCAACCATATTTTGCTTGATAGTCAAGCAGTGCGTCTTGTAAGTCCAAGTTGGACTTAAAAGATGCATTGTTGGACGTTGCACTTGCAAGTTGGAAGAGACCTCATCGGCCTGTCCAACCCCATTCTGCCAAGAAGCAGGAATATTGCATTCAAAGCACCCCCAACAGATGGCCATAAAGCCTCTGTTTAAAACACTCCAAAGAAGGAGCCTCCACCATACTCCAGATTTTCAGAAACTACAACTCCCAAATGACAAAATCAATCCCCGCCCAACCCCACCAGTATTCAAATTCGGTTATATTGGGTATTTGTGCCAAATTTGGTCCAGTGAATGAAAATATATCCTTTATATATTACAATTCATAACAATAGCAAAATTACATTTGTGAAGTAGCAACAAAAATAATTATATGGTTGGGGGTCACCACAACATGAGGAACTATATTAAGGGGTCGCAGCATTAGGAAGGTTGAGAACCACTGCTTTAATGTAATGTTGTTTATTTTATTGCAATTTGCATCTTATTTTATTGTAATTTGTTGTTTGGGCTTGGCCTCATGTAAGCCGCTCCGAGTCCCCGTTGGCACCCAATCTGGGTTCTCGACTGACCTTCTATTTGCTGTGAAAGCTTCCCGTTTTCCTCTCTCGCCTTCTCCATGTGCTGGACAGCTTCCATGTACTTCTGCTCCAAATGCACAATGGTTTGGGAGTGTTGCTTGACTTGCTCCTTGTACTCCGATATCTCTTCCAGATGCTTCCGAGTCTGTGACTTCATCTCGTTCTCCAGGCTTTTCAGGCGCTTCTCGTAGACAAGGAGCTTCTCTTCTGCAAACGTCTGGAAAACAGAGAAATCCCACCTTAGATGGTTCAAATTCCACCATATAAGGGACAAAACCCATAATGTGGTCCAAACTCTATCTCATATGGTCCAAACTCCCTCTCATATGGTCCAAACTCCATCTAATATGGTCAAAAGTCCATCTAATAAGGTCCAAACTCCATCTCATATGGTCCAAACTCCATCTAATATGGTCAAAAGTCCATCTAATAAGGTCCAAACTCCATCTCATATGGTCCAAACTCCATCTAGTATGGTCAAAACTCCATCTCATATGGTCCAAACTCCATCTAATATGGTCAAAAGTCCATCTAATAAGGTTCCAACTCAATCTCATATGGTCCAAACTCCATCTAATATGGTCTAAACTCCATCTTATATGGTTCAAACTCCATCTCATATGGTCCAAACTCCAATATGGTCAAATGTCCATCTCATAAGGGCCAAACTCAATCTCATATGGTCCAAACTCCATCTCATATTGTCCAAACTTCATCTCATATGGTCCAAACTCCATCTCATATGGTCCAGACTCCATCTCATATGGTCTAAACTCCATTTAATATGGTCCAAACTCAACCTTAAATAGTTCAAACTCCATCTCATATGGTCCAAACTCCATCTTATGTGATCCAAACTCCATCTTATGTGGTTCAAATGCCACCTTAGATAGTTGAAACTTCATCATATGGTTCAAACCACCTTAGATAGTTCAAACTCCATCTTATATGTTCCAAGCTCCACCTTAGATAGTTCAAACTCCATATTATATGGTTCAAACTCTGTTTTGTATGGTTCAAATTTCATCTTATATGGTCCAAACTCAATCTAATATGGTGCAAGTGCCACTAGTATGGTTCAAATTCCATATTATATGAGTCAAATCCCATGTTATATGGATCAAACTCCATCTTATATGGTCCAAATGCCACCTTAGATAGTTCAAGCTCCATCATATGGTTCAAACTCCACCTTAAATAGTTCAAAGTCCATCTTATATAGTCCAAACTCCATCTAATATGGTGCAAGCACCATCTAATATGGTCCACGTTCCATATTATATGAGTCAAATCGCATGTTATATGGATCAAACTCCATCTTATATGGTCCAAACTCCATCTTATTTGATCGAAACTCCATCTTATATGGTCCAAATGCCACCTTAGATAGTTCAAACTCCATAATATGTTTCAAGCTCCACCTTAAATAGTTCAAACTCCATCTTATATGGTCCAAACTCCATCTAATATGGTTCAAGCACCATCTAATATGGTCCAAATTCCATATTATATGATTCAAATCTCAAGTTATATTGATCAAACTCCATCCTATATGGTCCAAATGCCACCTTAGATAGTTCAAACTCCATCATATGGTTCAAACTCCACCTTAAATAGTTCAAAGTCCATCTTATATGGTCCAAACTCCATCTAATATGGTGCAAGCACCATCTAATATGGTCCAAATTCCATATTATATGAGTCAAATACCACATTATATGGATCAAACTCTATCTTATATGGTTCAAATGCCACCTTAGATAATTCAAACTCCATCATATGGTTCAAACTCCATCTAATATGGTGCAAGCACCATCTAATATGGTCCAAATTCTATATTAAATGAGTCAAATCCCATGTTATATGGACCAAACTCTATCTTATATGGTCCAAATGCCACCTTAGATAGTTCAAACTCCATCATATGGTCCAAACTCCATCTAATATGGTTCAAGCACCATCTAATATGGTCCAAATTCCATATTATATGAGTCAAATCCCATGTTATATGGATCAAACTCCATCTTATATGGTCCAAATGCCA